ATTCCTATTCTATTCCTATTCTATTCTATTCTATTCTATTCTATTCTATTCTATTCTATTCTATTCTATTCTATTCTGTTCTATTCTGTTCTATTCTATTCTATTCTATTCTATTCTATTCTATTCTATTCTATTCTATTCTATTCTATTCTATTCTATTCTATTATATTATATTATATTATAGTATAGTATATTATTTTATATTCAGTTCAAATGAGTCGTCTGCAAGGGCAGTGGCAGAGCCGGGCCACGCCTGACATGCGGACTGTTGCCTTGCGAAGCTTCCTGTGAGCTGGGAGGAGCAAGCGCACCTGATAAGCGAGCTCCTCAGGCTGAAGCAGGAGCATCCCGAGGCCTTCTCTGCTTCTGACTGCTTCTTTTCGGTTGTGGACTCTGAATTGGAGGCATGGGCTGAGACTCTGAGGACTTTCCTCACAGAGCGGCTGGCAGCGAGCCAAAAAGGGTTGTGACGTGCTTGCATCTGCTTTGAACGAGCCAAAAAGGGTTGTGACGTGCTTGCATCTGCTTTGAGTGCGCTCTGGAGCCTTTCACATTCCGCTCCCTTGTCCTCTCTGCAGGAGATGGGGAGATGTTTTGTGGAAGTGAGGGCCTCCGATTGTTGAGGCTCCGGGGCTCCGGGCTTTTTCCTTCAGCCCTGCAAGGTCGCCGTCCGCAGCGGGACCTTGCTAGGGTCTCAGAGCTCAGCCGTGTAGAGAAGGCTGCGGAAGCATTGAAAGCTGAGTTTTGGCTCGAAGAACCCATGGGCTTTGCCCATCGCCTTTGCCTGAGTCGCCTCCGAGTGTGACCACGCGGTGGTTCTTCACTTCATTTCTTCAGGGGCCCCTCCTGAGGTCCATGTCGGAGGTCGTGGTGAAATTGCCCGGTACCAAGGCATGTGGATGCAGAGCTTCTTTCAGTAAAGCCACTGAAATTTCACTAGTACCCGTGAGAAGCTTCGAGGCCCACATGTCTACATGCAGCCCTGACAAACCTGCGAAGCCTCCCCAAATCCAAAGCTCTAGTCTTTGGAGGAGATCCCTTCCGTTGCTGCAACGACATGGAGGCATCGCTGGGTCTAGATCCCTTCCATCTCTTCTAGCCAGAACGCTGCCAGGAAGGGTTGTTGGCAATCCGATAGCGCCGGCATGTTGTTGTAAACCAAAAAAGCACGTACTAGCATTTGTGCTGGGTTTTGCATCGCGGGCGGTAAACTCGTAGAGAGCCAGATAAGCTGTAACGAAAGCGATGCTCCAAAATGTTCGACTTAAGAAGTTCGTCAGACAACAGCATCGGGTCATCCAAGCGCTGCGAACTTGGTTGACAGGGCTACGTGGGCAGCTGCTGTGATCTCGTGGCTGGTGGTGTCAGTGCGCTCACTGCTCAGTTGGCTTTTGGGGCTACGAGGAACGAAGGCTTCGTGATTCAGGTCCCGTACTAAGGGTGCAGGAGCCAACCTAGGCCAGCTAGAACTTCTGACTGTGCTCGAGGAATCTTCATGGTTGCTCAAGGTTGCCCTCTTGTAGCAGTATTGCCCACGATGATGATGTTCTTCGTTGCCCGAAGCCCTGCTGGGGCTTTCAGAAAGTGCCAGATAAATGCCATGGACACGCTATTGAAAGAAAGAGATGACGCTTCGACGCATTGCAAGAGAGAGCAACGACCAGATAGGCCAAGAAAGCTGCCATAGCGACCTGCAAAAAGGAGGTATGCATGCTCATATGTCATTGTAGTCAGTAAAACGCTGCCAGATTAAGCCACGGCTCTGAACTTGTACCCCTGCATATGTTTATGCAGTTTAACGCAGCAGCAGCAATGTTCATGTGGTTTTTGCATGGAGACGAAGCCAGGTGCCGGCTGCATCAGTTACTTCTAGCTGTCCCAAACGACTGCATCATTTCGTCGAGTCCAGCACGGAAGTTGTACATGTTCCCCCTCTTTAGGCTCACGGTTTGTCGGCCCAGATGGGTCTGCATTCACACAAAGACAAGGGCACCTAAGAGATCAGTTCTTCCCTCCCAGGCAGCTAGCAGAGCCGGAGCCCCAGCTGATCTCTGTCGCTTCCACGACCACCACTACGCGGTTGTCGTTGTCATAGTGGCAGTCGGAGCAGTGGTGGTCGTCGTCATCGTCGTGATGGATCTGCATTGGGAGCCTTCCTCCGTTAAGATTGCCCCGAGTCTGAATGTCGAAGCCGTGGCTCAGGACTTTCTGTGATTCCTGGGGCATACTGGGCCGCACCGATCACATGGGTGAAGCGCGCCTTGCTTCAGTGCTTGTCCGAAGCTGGAAGCAGCGTTGCAAAACCCAGCTTGGGTTTAGCGGTTCGCATCACAAATAGAAGCAACTGTTCACTTTGTTATGTAGGAATCCATGCCTGCGCACACCTTTGTCTCAAGATATAGCTGGACCACATGCGTGTATATATATATATATGTGTAATGTGTATCTTTTGTCTATCTATCTATCTATCTATCTATCTATCTATCTATGCACATATATCTATTTGGTTTTTACTGTTTCGGGCGCAGAGTCGGCGCCTCGCAGCCCTTGGCACGCACTAACTAAACGTTGGGAGGTGGCGCGCAAATCTACAGACATACTAGGGTTTAGGGTTTAGGGTTTAGGGTTTAGGGTTTAGTATGGGCTCACCAGACAGGGGTGGGATGTAACCGGCAAGCGGAAATGCTGTCCCCTCCCCACAGCAAAACCAAAAGGATGGCCCATGGACGATGCGTGAGAATGCACGGCAAAAAACGGATGCTTTGTATTCCGTACCCTGGCCTGTCGAGCCTCGGCTCTGCTTGATGCCGTGCGGCTGGAAAGCTGGCCTCTTCTTGAAGCCAGTCGCAAACTCATCTACCGTGTAGTATGTGAGCATGTGCTCCGAACCAATGCTCAACATGGCCACCTTCCACAGTGTGTCTTCTGCGTCCATGACCGCCATTATGTCGGGTGAGGGCAAAACCTGAATACCCAGCTTGTGCGCGGCACACTCACTTGTCGTTATGCACTGCTTGCCTGTAGCCGGCAGACGCACCCATGGCGGGTGCTGGGGCCTCCAGTAATATTCCTGCCCTGCGCGAGCGATTGGGATATATACATATATATATATATATATATACACACACACAACTATATTTGTGCACATAGCTGGACCGTTTTTGTATGTATATATATATATATAAGAGCCCGAGACCTGTAGGGTCCTTGTAACAAGCTTTTGATGTGTACAACATTTCATGCCTAGTTAGTTTTCATAGATATATATGTATGAATATGTATATACATATATACGCATACATATGTATGTGTAGACAATTATGGTCTACATAATCGGAGCGCGGGTCTCCTAGACAATAGCATCACGTTGACATTGATATGCCAGAAGTATATGACAAACAAAGCAGGTAGCAACAGACAACTTTGCAAACACTTTCCATTCAAATCTATAGGCTTGCAACACACACGAGTTGCATATGTGTGTGTATGCATGTATGCACATGTTTCAACTTGCTAGCGCTTTTGGGGCGGTTGCTGGCAGGGAAATTCTCATTGATGCGTTTCGAACACGAAGTTATAATCTTGGCAGAGCATGAATGCATAAGCATATCTTTGCAGAAAGGGATTACAGGATGTCAGCACAAGGATACGTGCAAATGTAAATGCAGAGGACATGCTGCACAATGTTGAGGTGCCCCTCTGGTTCGTGGCCCTGCCTCTTCACTGCACCAGCCTCGCCCTGCTTGAACCGCATCGGCGTTTTGTGCCGGATCCCAGCGGTCCGAGGTAGACTATGAAACAGCGACGGTGGACGAGCTGATGTACTTCAGTCAACCAGACGTCTCTGTGTACGTCGTGACGGCTGCCTGCCAGAACAGCTCGGCTTCCTGCAATCTCTGCCGGCCCCCTGCACCCATGCCTAGAGGGATGAAAAGAAACGAAGCATGTGGGAGTTTCCGAAAATAAGGGGTACCTTATTTTGGGGTCCTTATAGTAAGGGTCCCATTAATTAGGGTACTATATTAGGATCCCCTATTTTCGGAAACCCCATGTATGTTCTTCGAGATACTAGAAGCCTTGCAGAGCTTATTAATCGGCACACCGACGGTCAGATTGCTGTGCTGGTGATGATCCTCGTCGTTGGAGTGGTTGTGCAGCCCACAGCGTCTGCAAAATCACTGCTCTCTGCATTGGGATGATGTGGAAACCTCCAAACTTGCAGACTGAGAAGGTGCGCCTGATGAAAATCTTCGATGTCAGGCTGTGATTGAGCCTTGTTCGTTGCTTGCAATTGGTGGCCCATGCATTTTGTAAAGGTGTGACTGTTCCGCTTTGATGCCGGCGCGCCAAGTGCGGACCTCTTTTGCGTTTGGGTTCAGAGCCAGGTTTCTTGGATGTTCCTTCGCGTGCAATGAGGACGATGACGCAGACCTGTACGACCCGGATGACCCAGCATCCGACTGGGGGGAGGTCGTGCAAGAAGCTGCGCTGGCGACATGTCTGAATGACCCCAAACCCCTAACCGGAAATACTGAGCCCGTGTAATCCCTGAATCCCAAACTGAAAAGCCTGCCCTGAATCCCGGTCTGAACTACTGAGGAAGAGGCCCGAAAGAAAAGACAAAGGAATTGCAAAGGTTGGATCCAGGAGCGGACAGCATCCCTGCAAGAGAAGTTTCAGCGCATTTCGAAATGCATCCGCCGTGGTGCCTTGGCTGAACCTAGGAGCTTCCCAGAGACGTTTAGTTACTTTGTGTTTTCTGGTTGATGGCCCGACCGTGGTATGTTCTGGTGATCTTGGCTTCCTCTTGTTCAAGAAGCATTTGTAGCTATGCATGTGCTTTAGCAAATGCATGAATACCATGTATCCATAAAATATGTAAAGTGTAGCCTGCTGTTATAATGGTGTATTGTATGTAACGTGTGTACGGTTTGTGATGCGATGTCTTTGAGGGTTTGGGTTCACCTGAATGTGCTCTCTAAGCAGCACAACATAAGCATACGCATTTATCACAAATACACATACGAATATCCATACATATTTTTACATGTGCACATACACCCATACACACATACACATGCACATGCACATACACATGTACGTACACATGCGCATGTAGATGGACGCAGGGATAGATAGATCGACAGACAGACAGAGAGGTAGATAGATAGGCAGACAGATAGCTGGGTAGAGAGATGCATACATAGGTGCTTACATAGATACATAGAAGATACACAGATACATCTATACATAGAGTCATAGAGACGTAGATAGATACATACCTACATACCTAGATACCCACATACTTACATGCATACAGATTTGCGTAGCACATACACCTATTCAGACTTGCATGCGTGCATGCATGCATACACCTGGGTGTACGTACATAGCATACGTAAGTATGTTTTTTGTGAGAAACCGCTGAACTAAGGGAAAAAGAAGGAGCCAGAGTCTCCAGCATCCGGCCGAGGTGACCCGGAATTTCTTTCCTCTGTCTTGGCCTTCGGGCGAAAGGGGTTGCGGTGAATAGGAGGCCGAAGTTATGAGCAGAGTTCCAGGATTCCGGTCAGGATGTAGACTTCTGCTTGTTGGGTTTGGGAGTAGGGTGTAAGGCTCAGTGTAAGGTCTTCAGTTGAGGGTTTCAGGATTCAGGCTGGACCACACCCTAAACCCTAAACCCTAAACCCTAAATTAAAGTCGAAGGTCGGGCCACCCTAAACCCTAAATTAAAGTCGAAGGTCGGGCCTTGTAGCGGGGATTCGGCTCAAGCGTGCAGGTGAAGCGAAGGTGCGGCGGATGACCTCCAAGTCGAGTCAGGCAAGGCCGTCTTTGGACATAGTGACGTTTTGGGTTTAGGGTTTAGGGTTTAGGGTTTAGGGTTTAGGGTTTAGGGTTTAGGGTCAGGGTGGTTTCGACGGGTGGGATTCGCGGGTACATGCATGCTGCATGCAGCTACATAGAAAAATTTCTGGAATAGCATCAACTGCTCTACCAGAGTTAATGGAAGCTTTCTCACCGAACCAGTACTTTCAATTGCCGAGATCTTTCAGCATAAGTCATTGTGAAACTCTGCTGTCCAACAATGTCCAATATGTTAGACAACTGGTTACCATTGCCACCAACTCCCCCAATGACACTGACCTTCCGGCCTCAGTACGAGCTAGACACAAAAGCAAAGTACACAAAAGCAAAGTGACTGTTTGCCTGGTTGGGGCTCTTATCTGCAGGATGTGCGGATGAATGCGGGTGCATCCATGCATGCATGGATACCTTTCACATGAAATCTCCACGATTCCACAAATTTCCAAAGTTCAGTCTCAGAAGAAGTTTTGCAATTCCGAAACTCCAAAACTCCAAAAAGTCTCAGGTTTTAGAATTCCGGTATTCCAGAACTTGGTTCCGTAGGTTTTGGAATTTTGTGAATTTCAGGATTCTAAAACTTCATCTCAGACTTTTTGTAATTTTTGGAATTATCGGATTTTTGCGGAGTTTTGCATTTGCTTGCATGCCCAACATATTTACCCGAACCGTCTTCTCTCTCTCTTCGTACTCAAGTACCGCTAACATACGCCTGCAACTTGCTTGGGTTGAGGTTCTTGAGTTGAAATTAGGCATTTTGGTGATTTCATGTTGTCTAAATACTCGTATGGTTGCTTAAGTCGTGCTGGGGCTGCTGTAACCATTTCATAACATGTATATAGTTGTCCAGTTCGATGTATAAATAAATAAATAAATGAATATATATATATATATATATATATATGCTACCCCGACATTCGCTGCATCTTAACCCTAATAGACGCACAAACACATGTATCGTAAGTACGGTTTGAAAATAGAAAGCTCATGCGTACATGCGTGACAGAAGTACTCCATGAGCAACATGTAGATGTGCGGCCAAACGCGGTGAAATGTTCAACGAGAGCTAATTCAATATCAACTGGGTATTAACTCTAACCGAAGCAGCAAGACATGAATGGCAATTACTACTCGACTGTTAGATAATTGGAAACATAATGATGAATATTGCATAGGTACGTCACTTGACCTCAGACCAGACAAAACGGCAAGGCATGTAGCTGCGAACGTGGAGCCTGTTTTTTTTTATTACGGTCTTTTGCTTATAAGCTGTATACAGATGGCAATGACCGACACAGAATCTATCGATATTTGCAGGGTTTTGTTGCGTCCATCTGCAACAACACAGGCACGCACATGAGCAATTCTAGGGTCGAGGTTGGTCCTGGATGGGGTTACCTATACATTCTCGTACATGCCGGCTTGTTTGTGTTTGTGTCTTTGTCTATAGATAGAATCGTTCATTCTTGTGTGTATATACATATGTATACGCTTATGTGCACAGATGTATCTGTATGTGTGTGTGTGTATGTACATATGTATGTATGTAAGTACGTTTGCCTATCTGTGTGTCTGTCTGCCTGCCTGCCTGCCTGCCTGCCTGCCTGTCTGTCTGTCTGTCTGTCTGTTTGTATGTCTGTGTCTGTCTTTATGTATGTATGTATGTATGTATGTATGTATGTATGTATGTATATATGTATGCATGCATATTTATATGTACGGAAATATGTATACATGTATCTGTATATATCTATATATACATGAATACATATATGTTTCGATGTATAGTGTGTATATAGGTGCATGTATATGTGTATATACATATAAGTTTTTATGTACATATGTAACATATGTATATATGAATACATGTATCTGTGTGTTTGTGTATCTGTGTACGTATATGCATGTAGACATTTATATATGTGTATGCATGCCTGTATTATGTGCAGAAACTGCATGTCTGCATACATGCTAGTTATCTGTGTGCAGAGGCACAGCATAGCTTGTCTCTGCTCTTCCAGGGCCGTGGTGCTTCGCAGAGTGTCGTCCGCACCTCCTCCAAGCTGAGCCGCGGGAGCCGCGGCAGCCGCGGGCGCAGCCCGTCTAAGGGCTTTCAGGGTACCGGACGTGCAGAGTCCAAGAGCAGCCGGGGCAGCCGGGGCGCGGACTCTGATGGCAGATCCGATGCACGGGAGGACGGGAAATCCTGCAGAGACGGAGGACGAGTAGGGACTCCTGCATGAGGACGAAGACGAGCAGGAGGAGTTGCCTGCGAAGTCCGAGACGCGAAGAGTTTCCGCGACGATTTCAAAGGCCGAAAGCACGAATTGCTTTCTCAAAGGCATGTCAATGAAGCTTCTTGCCGATGTCATCACCGAAATCGCAAAATCTGGTTGCTAGTTTTTCGATTCTATATGTCTTGTACTATGTCGCGTTACGATGCATCGCTCCGAATTGGCAGGAGGTTCCGGAAGTCTTCGAGGAGGTTCGGGCCATTCACTGGGCCTTGAATCAATGTCGCGAAGAGAACGCAGGAGAAGAGAGCGACCTCGGCTTGTTTCCCGCATGGGCCGCAGAGCAGTCAACAGCCATGATTCCCTGAACCCTAAACGCTAAACCCTCAACCCTAAACCCTAAACCGTGACAGTCTGGGTCCATGGACCCGGCTCTGGCCCGCACTTTTGCAGGCCTCCCACCCCAAATTCCGCTGACTCAGGCCTGGTTTTGTTTGGGAAGACGGCACGGACCCCACGCTGGTCGACAACCTGGAGGTTGCCCCCTGAGGGTTTTTTTGCGACCTTGACCTTGCCTGTTCTGGCTGTTGAGTGCTGCTGCGTGGCTGAGAAATACCTCAAGTGGGAGGCCACGGGGAAGGACTGATGGTTTCATGATCTCTTTGCGGTAAACTGTCCGTGTAGTCGGTGTGCGTTGGGATTGGTAATGTCAGGAGCTCGAGGATGTCGAAGAGCGTGACATTCATCCAGGCTTTCACGCAGGTGGCGGGCCCGGGCAGTGACAATTCCGGGGTATAGTGCAACAGTATGCCAAAGCATCCTTTGGAGCACTTCGGGCAGAAGCTATGTTTACCTGGAGCCCACAAAAAAGCCGGAAGAAGCCCAGCTGAGCAGGAAACCTGAAGGGCATGGCCCGGCTTGCGCGGCAGCAGCACCAGTCGCTCCTCCTCCCGATCGTGGAGCCTCGGGGCCTGGAATTTCCAGGGTTTAGGGTTTAGGGTTTAGGGTTTAGGGGAGGTATCGACAAGACTGCTCGTCATCATCGCGATCATGACGTACGCCTTTTGCTGACACTGTTCATCATGCCAGTAGAGGCAATGGCCACAATATCACATGAAGTTGTAAATAGCAGCGTCCAGTTCAAAGAGTGCGTGGCTTGAAGAAGCTCCCTACAGGAGGCAGTAGAGGCTTTGACGAAGCTCAACTGAAACTTTTTCGGACATGCTCTCCATGTTCCGTTTAGGAGATTTGGAGTTCTCCAAGACCGACTCCGGAAGTCTGATGGCTTCAGTAGTATCAAGAATGACTGGGATTGAAGTGCATGCATTTCTTCTTCCAAGGCCCATGACAGGGCGCTCGGCATCTTGTTTGCATACGGGAGAGGGTAGTCTGCAATGAACGGAAATGCTTTCTAGTGGGAGTTTTCATCTCAACGTCAGCATATGCTGTCGGGATCTGTCGTGCAGAGCTATGACACGCTGCTCGTGTGCACGCGCACGTCGGAACTTGGACTTCATTTGTTTCGACTCCTCGGTGGAGCTGTTTAGCCCAGGCGAAATCGCACTCCTACTCTGCCGACACCCTCTACTACTCCTGCAGCACATTGCGGGAGAGCCGGCGCAAGAAGCGAAAGCGCGGGGCCATTAAAGGCCCAGGAGGGAAGCAGATGGCCCGGGCCCTAAAAGGCTGAGATCTTTCCGACCCTCTGTGTGCCAAGCCTGACACTCTTGAAGTGTGGGTTTAGGGTTTAGGGTTAGGGTTTAGGGTTTAGGGTTTAGGGTTTAGGGTTTAGGGTCAGGTTTCGCCTCCGGTGCGCTTTTCATCTAGAGCGACTTCCCTGTATCCCGAGTATCGTTGTCTCGTCTCCTGGTGTTCAGTGTCATCTCAAAGTCCCACAGTCCCTGCGTCTCGGTGTTGGTGCTTCCCTGGTCATCCGATGTCTTGCGGTCGTGGTTACTCGTTATACTCTAACTCCGACTCTTACCCCTACCCCTTCCCGTACCCCCGCTCCTCCTCCTCCTCCTCCTGACTCCTGGTCCTACCCCTGCCCTACCCCTACTCCTCTAGGCCCTATCCTACTCCTGCTCCTACGGCTTCTACTGCCAATGCTCCTCCTATTCCTACCACTCGTACTCTTGCTTCTACTCCTGCTCCTACTCCTACTCGCAGAGCCAGATAACGGCCACACAACAAAAGCAATGGTGGCCACGAAAGTCGCCAATCCTTATCCAATCCTTGTATAGCGTCTGGGGTGGATTGCAAGAGTGGTGTTGTCGCTATCGCAGTTTCAAGCCGAGTCAGTTTCCTTGACCCGTCGCATTGCAAGGCACGGAGTTTGGAGACGCCTCAGAAGTGGAGTTGGGCCACACAGGAGCGCCACACGATGCGAGAGTTTACATGGCTCACGAATGAACGCCGGGCCTAAGGAAACCCTAAGCTCCAGTTCGCTCAGGAGGAGCCGGCCTTCCGGCAGCTTCCTATCGAGAACGGCCCACAGCCTCGAGCTCGAAATCTGCTGTCGCAAGCCCATGTTGCATCTTATCCCTGATCAGAGGTTCTCCAAGATCAAGGCCTGGCCTGAAGGGACGTTGGTGCCGCTGCCGCTGCTGTTTGTATGTTGCTATGTTGCTGGTCTCGCAGAAGCGCCACCAAAATTGTCGCGTCTGTCATCATGACTGTCTGTGCTACTGCAGCAAGGTACGCATTCTGCTGCTGTTGCTGTGATTATTGCAATCGCTGCTCCTTGAAGTTACAACGATGGCCAGCGGCATTAGTGTCGCATTGGTGTCACTCACCAGTGCCAGCAGCACCAGGCAATTATCTGTCGCGATTGTGGTTCTTTGGTCGCTAAGTCCACTATGGTCATGATGACTATGGTTGCTGTGATGTTTGTTTTGTTTCTTGCTGTTGTTGCCAGTGTGTGCATGCTTTCTTGTGCAAGCCACTCTTGCTTCATTGCTATTGGTGTTCTTAGTCTTTTCATTCATGATCGTCTTCATTCATTCCTCGCTATCTTCCTCCTCCCCCTCCTCCTAGTCCTCCTCAAACCTCCTCACCCTTGTCGCTGTTGCTGTTGCTGCCGCGCCTGCTGGGGCTGCTGCCGTTGTTTATTGCAGCCACCATGACCATGGATGCTTAGCTGCAGGTGCCGGGAGCGCAGTCCCAGCACATCCTGAGCCTCGAGTAGCCGACACAAAAGGGAAGGTTGCAATGCTGAAAGTAGTTACATACAGAGATATGGTAGTAAGAAGAAGAGTCATAGACAATGACCAGCATACTCATCCTCACCACCGCTCACCATCGCCACGCATCATCATCATCATCATCATCATCGTCATCATCATCATCATCATCATCATCATCATCACCTCCCTTATCGTCATCACCATCACCACCATCATCATCATCATCGTCATCGTCATCATCATTATCATCATCATTGTCATCATCCAGCACCATCAGCATCGTCATTATCGTCATGAGCATCGTCAGCATCTCCAGCATCAGCATCAGCATCACTTTCGGAATCTTCTCACTGCAACAATGAAAGCATCAAGGACAACAGTTTTTATTTTGATGCGCGGTCCATGTTGCGGGCGTGTGCGACGGCAGTCCGGTCATCCAGAATTCAACCCTGCATCTTTATTTCTCGCGACGCGGTGGGTTCGGTGGTTAGCTGGAGTAGAGCCCGCAGAATTCACGCGAGCGTCGATTGTGTGTTCTGAATACCCAGCCGCTGGATGGGGCAGTGTCAGCGAAGCCGCCAAAGGTGGTGCAAGAAAGCCGCTGTGGTCTCACTTTCAGTCGTTCATCTGACATTGAGCAGGAAACAAAGTTTTTCGTGACGGTCGGGGGCAGTGACATCAGGTCATGCACAGGCTCGGATATCACATCCAGCAAGTTCCGGCACCCGTCTCAAATAGCTAGGACCCAGGAGTTGACCGAGTTCGATTCCCCACGTCCCAAACTTGAGGTACCGGTACCATCGGTCAGCTTAGTGGACTGAAGTCCGCAAACGGCAGTCTGCCGCAGAACAGCTGAGTAAAGTCTTCCGCTAAAACTCCTTGGTGGCATGCCGGCAGCGACTATCCTGTGCCTTGGTTGCATCTAAGGAGTTGGCTTCAGGCTTTTGGCGGCTAGGGCAGTTGGCGAAATGTTCAAGCATACAGGAATCCCTGTCCCAGGAATTAGGCTTGCTAGTGCTCTTCTGATGCACTGGAAGAAGCAAGGCCATGAGGTTCCAGTAAAACCAGCCCATGTTCCGAGCAACTGTCGCTGTCGGATCTTGTTGTGTTCCGCTGCTCGCCGCTTCCGGTGCACTGACGAGCTCGAAACTAGGTAGTATGATTACGGGTACCCTTTAAAGGGTACCCCTTCTGAACCCTACTTCTGGCTCTCTTAAAAGGGACATTATCGAGAGGGTCTATATCCCCGAGGGTCCCCCTAATCCCAGCTCCCAGAAAGTATCTCCATCTGTCGTGCGCTCTTGGAGGCCGGAAGGCCCCATGGAGGCTGGCAAGGAAGAGGAAGGAGCCGCACTCTTAGGCGGGATCGCGCGATGTCATCTTGTCGCCTGCCTCGCCTCACTTCCTCGCCGTTTTGTTGGTTTGTGGGGGGACGTGCTGTGTGCAGGGCATGGTTTGCAGATGTGCAGGTGCATCCGAAATGTCCGAGTTTCCTCGTGCTGCACCCAGCCTACGATTCAGAATATGAGGACAGTGCCTCGTGACTGGTGCCGAGGCCTGCGACCTTACGCCGTCTTGGGCCTCCTGAGCATCGTGGTGGTGGCTTCTGCAGGCCACGCATGAGACGTGAAGGGGTTCCTTAGCTTCTCCGTCTGTTGATCGCCCTTGCAGGACTCCTACTTCCAAAGCGAGGTGGGGTTTTCCTGAGCCGAGGCAGCAAACGAGCTGAATGTTTGATTACAGTTCAGGAGAGGCTCCGGCTCTATCCGAACCTTCTGCGAGGCACCTTGCGTCCTCCGAGGGGTTTGCCTTTGCTGTATGGCCTCTGGCGGGTCCCGAGAAGCTTCACAGGCTGTCGGAAGCGGCTGTGCAGACCACAACGCCCGCCAAGTTCTGGCTGATGTGCCCTCAACCCAGGAGGTTCTAGGTTCGGGCATGTGATGCCATCCCGGTGCTGCTTTTGAAGCTGCTAGTTGCTGCACACGGTATCCAAAGTGTATGTTTCCTTTATCTATCTGTCCATCTCTGCACCTTTCTCCTGTATGCATGCATGCATGCATGCATGCATGCATGTATGTACGTATCT